TTACAAACAATTTGATATTTGATAGGGATTAAAATCAGTTTTTTATTATATTTTAATATAAATTGATGAAATATATGGTTAAAAAATTGTGAATTTAATGAAATGTGTGGTGAAATTAATTATTGACTTTAATTTAAATTAAAATCTGAACTTTAATTTCTACCAAATAAATGCTTAGAATTTACAGCTAACATGTTTAAACGTAACGATAATTATGCTTATATAAATGTAATAAATTAAAAGCTTTCAAGGCTATACGGCAAGCAGACATGTTATAATACTTATGTATAAGAAAATTCACGTTTCACTAAATTGATTTTAATATACATGATAGATGATTTATGCTTAAAAAAATTACTACTTTCACCATACTTTAAAAAAATAAGTTTTCATGCTGATAACGTACTATAAAAAGAAATAAGAATGAAATAAATTAATAGACTTGTGTGTATTATAATAAGAATAAAAACTCTATATTTATAGAAAAGGATTATGAATACAATGGTAATAATATCTATGATTACAGAGGTACAATTGTCATTAACTAACAAACTTACCATTTACGACAATAATTAGATTACATAATAAGATTAATTACTATATTTCTTTGTTTGATCAAAGGCCTGGAACTGTCTATATTTATGCAAGGAGAAATGGGATCAAAGTTCAAGATGTTGAAAAGGTAAATACATAGCAAGTTAAATCGATATTGAAGAATGACCAACCCGCAATGAATAGGGAAGGTAAAGTAATGCTAGGAATGACTCAGGAAGAATTTCACTGTTATGCCTCAGTAGTGAGTTGATCTTTAACCTATAAAATAAATATAATATAAAAATGCACAATCCTTTCCAACTAGTACAAACCACCTTTATTTGATGGATTCAATGAGAAAGTCAACATAAACAGCCCAAACTGAGAAATTACGCTTTGGAATACAGGTCATTCCTCATTCAATTGAAGGGAAAGAAGAGAGTAACAAAACAAATATTTATAGGTGAAAAGAAGAGATAAAACTAAATAAAACATGAAATCCAAGTAGACCTCATTATAGTCGTTTCCAGCATACAAAGACACCACCACTGCTTCCATCACACGACCAAGATATTTCCATAAAGAAACCCCAAGCTACAACTACAAGACCAGCAATCTTCTAATCCCATTACTAGCACAAAAATAGAGACCATATTTTTGTATTATGATAACTCAAACTACCACCCGCCACATACCACCATTTGTCATCAACTTCTAACACCACCACCACCAGCAGAAATCCAGCATCATTGTACCACATCTGTAAGTTCTACATACAGTCTGATATCTGTAAAGTACGTACCAGAAGAGAACCTGACAAGCTTAGCATTATGATATTTGGTACATTTGAATGAAAATAATCAGCTATACACAGATAGTGAAGAAGTCATTTGTACTAGTTGCTCTTGAAACCTGGACAGAAGTCGTTCAAAAAATTTACAGATCGCAACAATTACCCCAATTTTCTCATATAAAAAGACCGAATTCGAGTATTAGAGAAGAAATCGTGAATTAGAAATCTTTTAAAAGTGCCAGCCTCCTTGAGTTTACAGCAATAATTACTAATTAGCTGTTCTACAATTCATTGTACACTTTTAAAAAAAGACAAGAACACCTCATCCTGCCTCTGCTGTATTCTTGTCAACTTTGAATAGAAACATTCTTCGTTTTACATTCATGACCACTACATTATGCATCTAATTTTCCTTCCCGCGGAACCAGATACAGCCCATGTTTTGCCCCCATTTCCTCAAACTCATTTTCAACCACATATTTCATGGGATTTATAACTTTTATCAACTTTTCAACACCATATAGCATATTACACCAACTTCTATCAAAATTTACTAAAAATCTAATTCTTATCCAAACCAAACGGGGGCAAAGTATATAAGCAAGTTATATGTGCTCATCTTGTATGCATTTGTTCACAATCTGCAGCATTCCCAAAGTTTAACTCACTAACATTGTAAATATATCATATTAACATTCAACATACTAACACAGAGTTTCGATTTCAACCATATACATGATTATTTCAAATTTGACACCATAATAGCAATCAATACATAGAACAATTCATACATAGAGCAATTTTTTCAACAGCAAAAATTGAAATCAGAATATGAAAAAAAGGCTCAAGAACATACTCAAATATGCAATCACTACTCGGTTCAAAGCATCAAAACTCAACAGCCAAGCAGTGCACAATTGAAGCCCCATTAGGAGCAACAAGAATCACATCTGACCACAAAATAGTCCCTCTCAAACCGCCGTCTGCATCCTTCTTTACCTCAATCTCTGCACACATAATCTCCACCTCCTTTCCGCTCCCTTTCCCTTCCCACACCACGCACAACTTCTCATCCAAATTCACCATTGTTGCACCACACAAAAACTTGGGCAACTCCTTTTCGACCCCCTTCAACTCCTTCCAGACATCCTTCTCCACATCATACCCTCGGATTTTACCCAAATAATCATAGCAATACAAGACATTACCCACCACAGTGGCTCGACCCCTCCATCCCAAGTCAAGTCTCTTTGAAACATTCCCCCACTGCCCGGACTCGGCATTGTACACTACCCCACCCCTATCAGCCATCGCATAAATCCTACTCCCAATCACGGCGCTCGCGTGCATCCACTTGTCCCTCACCTCAATTGGGCTTGGCACCCGGTCCCAAGACTCAATTTTTGGGTCAAAAACCTCAGCCCAGTTCATCGAACGGGCCCAGTTGTCAACAACACACCCTCCCATAACATAAGTTTTACCATTCCATGTGCCAGCGGCGGCGAATTCCCTGGCAACCCGCATCTTGGGACCCACTGCCCACTTATTGAATCGACAGTCATAAACCCACACATTATTCGACGGAATATCATGAATGGAGCCGCCGATAATGTAGATTTTTGGGCCTAGGACGCAGAAGGAAGACCCAATTGGCTGGCAGCCCAGATCGGTAGGGATGGAAGGGAGAAGGATAAGGTTTTTATTTTTGGGTTTCAGGGAATACCAGTGGAAGGAGGAGTTAATGCGGAGATTGAGATAAAGGGAAGTCTGAATGGTGCCGAGTGCAGATCGGGTGTTAAAAAGTGCGGGGGAGGTTATAGTAGAGTGCCATGATTTCGACACTAAGGAGAGATATGGGTGGTCAGAGCAGGGAATTTTGGCCAGGATATGGAGTGAGATGTCATCTGGGAGGTTTGGGATGAGCGGCTGTGGTGACGGCAGAGCTTGAGAAGATACGATGGTGCTGGTGGTTTGGTCTGTCATTATTTGGGCAAGAGAGAAGAATAGCGTAATTAGATAATTGAGGTTTCTAGGAAATCTACAAGGAGATTGTCAACAATTGGGATGCGAAGGAGATTCTTTATTTCCAAAAGGACATATTTTATATTTTTAGAGAGTATTTATAATTTTAGAGAATAAAATTTTTAAATTCTTTTAACATATCTTTTATATGTAACACTTAATTTTAGTACTCTCAATAAAATATTATTGTTTTTTCTATTTTGCATTTTCGTTAGCTTTCCTTTAAATTATTATATTACCTTCCTCAATTGAAATTGAAATTGAAATATTTTCAATGCATTTAATTATAAAATGGATTTGACTCTCCAAATTTGAAGAGTCAAACTAATTCTCTAAATTAAGCCCCCGTTTGACACCCATTAATTTCTCTTTCTATTTCTCATTCTCATTCTCATTCTTCATTTCAACCACACATTCTCCTAATAAAATAATATTACACACAAATCAAAAACTTTTCATCACTTTTCCACCACACATTCTCACATCAATCACTATTCCAAAATTTCTATTTCTCCCAAAATGGGTTTCAAACAGGGGCTAAACTATTAATTTAAAGAGCTTCTTGTAACATAATTTTAAGCATTTACTCTTTAAAATAGAGATAATCTTATATTTAAAGAGTTTCTTGAAGATTCACAATGTTCCAAGCATAAAAACTTATAGAAAAAGTAAATACAATTGGGATAAAAACTGATATTAGAAATAAATACAGTTGGGATATTAAAATAATCAAATAAATCTACATACGCATGTATGAGTCGTTGATTTGTCATCGTCATTTGTGTGGATTGCACGGGATTAATAATAAGTATTATGGGAGCAATCGGATATAAGTCACAAGTTTGGGAAGTAAAATTCAACTTATTGAAAGTTTAATGATTAAATTGCATATTTAAAAAACCAAGGAGGACCGATTTTGAAATATTATTGAGGGTCGGGTCCAATGTGAAAGCTTTTGGAAGTTTCAAGATCAATATTGAAGATTAAAAAGAAAAAGGATCAAAATGGGACAAAAATCGTGAAGTAGGGACCAAATTGAAATAAGTTTGAAAGTTCAAGATAGAATTTTTGCTTCTATAAGGATAACAATCATGATGTACTTCTTTTTTATAGGGATGACCAAAAAGCTCATTCAACCCGATGTTCGTGGGGCCATCACTCCGAATAGAGCTGGGATTACCCTCCTAACATAGTAAACGGGGTAGGGACGGGGCGATGATCATTACTCCGAAACAGGTATGGGAAACATAGTCCACACCCTACCTAAAATTAATTTCAAATTCAAGTTTTTTATCCAACAAAAATAATAAATTTATCATCATTTTTAAATGGACGTGATGATGGCCATTACCCCGATGCGGGTACGGGAATCATAGTCTCCATCCCGTTTAAAATTTATTTCAAATTTAAGTTTTTTTTTGAACAAAAATAATAAATTTATCATCATTTTTAAAGAGAACATAAATTATTTTTAACAAATTACTAAAAAAGTAATAACATTTACTAACAAGAGACATAAAAAATTAAAAAGCAAATAAATAAATAAATGAGATGATAAATAAGGCAAGGGACCCGTCCCGCCCCTAACCCGTCCCGATTTAATCGAGTATGAGGATAGGGTAAGATAATAAATATATTCGATGGGATGGGGATGTGAATGACCGATCTGTCTCATACCCGCCATGTTGACGTCTCTACTTTTTTAACATTGTGGCATGTGGTGAAACATGATTGGACAATTTTTTTTTTTTTAAAAAGACACTTTCACACCAAACAATTTTTGAACTCCAATGAAATGTGCACAATGACAATCTCACAATGTACGCTTAACATTATTCATAAGGATAGTGTTTTCAACATGTATTCATCGTCTGCAGAATCAATGAAGAATGAATTAGATTATTTTATTTCTCATATTTTGCCTTTTTTTATTAATGAAAACATTTGAAATATCAGCTTAAAAATAACAAATCAAACACCAAGTTTTAATTAATTAATTAATTTTAAGATTTAACAATAGGGGTGAAAATGATTCCATTTTGGTCTTGGTTCCAAGATTACCGAACCATGAACTAATTTTTTTTGGTAATAATGGAATCAAATGATTTTTTTTATTTTTTTTATTTTGAAGATATGAAACCAAACCAGAAACAAACTCGGTTCTAGTTTGGTTTGGTCTTAGTTCCATTATTGATTGAGAAAAAAGAAAAAGAATATTTGAGGAAGAAGAATCCAAGGTTGTGACTTCGATTTTAGAAATTCATGCAACGATGATAGTTGAGCGCGACGGAAGACGACAAGTAATAGTGTTTGTCTCCATGTGAGAGTCGAAGTGTAAGTTGAAAATGAGAAATGAATTAGGGTCTAGGTCTTCCAAATGAATTAGGGTCTCCAATGTCTACATTGAGAGTTGAAAAACCAAATGTACATGACCTTTTTGTCATGATTTTCAATTGAATTTTGAAGAATCTGAATCTGAATCATAACCATTTTTTTTTGTAGAACCAAACCAAACCACTCGATTTGGTTTGGTTCTGGTTTGATTTGGTAATTTTGTCTACCTCTATCTAATATAGTAATTTAAGTAATCTAAACTCAATACGTTTAGCATTCTTTTTTCCAAAAAAAATTAAAATAAATCTATCTCGGTCATGCTTTATTCTTTATATCTTAGGAGCATCGTCAAGAAATTCTTTATTTTTTTAGAGTATTTTGATAATAATAGAGAGTATTTTTAAATTTAAAGAGTAAAACTTTTATATTCTTCAACAAACTCTTTATTTTTTTGTTCATAATTTTACTTTTTTCAAAAAATTATCTATTGTTTTTCTCTTATTTTTCATTTTATATGAATAATTTAATTAGTATAACATTGAATTTTATAATTGTTGGAATTTTACTTAATATGTACAGCGAAAAATAAATCAAATTTCAATTCTCACCAAGGATTTGCATTGTATTTAGATAGAAAATGTGATAAGAATTATATATTTGATGAATTCCATAAACTCCTTTACTTTTCTTGAATTCGAATGATCACGATCTGCAATCTAATCTATCCAATTATTCAGCCTTCAATGGTGATCCACACAGAGAACAAGAATGACGACTAGAGTTTTCTTTTCTTATACTAGCAAGAATAATGAATAATTTCTACAGTTTCAAACCCTAGCAACCTATTAACATAAGTCCAAGCTGGCTAGTCCCATTTCTTAAACTTAACCCGATCCAATATTCAATTAATCAAAATAATTAAATATGATCCATGAATTAATTAATCTAATTAATTAATTCGGGCATATTAATAAGCAACTCAATTATTAATTGGTGAATCTCATTCTTCTAGTTCTTTTTTGCTTGTGACCTATTAGGTTTCTAATCACGATGTTTAACAACGTGAATTATTATTTTGATCTAATCAAAATCGATAAATTGAAGCACCCATTTTAATTTATCACTAATTCACATTCGTCGTCCCAAATTGACATCTAGCAATATGTCGGGCAATACATGTGACGAGAAATGTCACGTAGTGCGACAAAACCAAATTTTGTTCATTTACCGTGAAATTATAATCATTTCGTCAATATGATCCGATCGATTGCGAGATATGTATATGTGTCAATCTCAATTGTCGATCATATCTTTTATCCCACTATTAAGTCATTGTAAGTTGAAAACTCCTTTTCAACTTATGATTTAACCTTGGCCAATGATTTCATCATCAACTTAACTGGATAAAACGTAGATCATAATCTCTTATTATTTAAGAGTGATGAATCCTCTATTGATCATTCACAACCTTCATATGATTCTTGACATACTCGAGCGATGTCGTATTAGCGACCATTTGCAGAACAACATCCAATATCACAAAAGTATAACTGTCCTCATATAAGGCACTATGATGACCTCAAGTTAAAGGACCAATTCCAATACTGAACGTTAGAGATTAACCACTGACACTGAGATAGTTATCCATGTGGAATCTCCCCAGTAGGTCTTCAATGTTTTGTTCTATAATAAAATATCAACGTGTTTATTTAAGTATCACGATACTTTAACTTGTGAGATCAGTTACTTGCTTCGCAAGTAAAAAAATGTCACACATGATGGTCTATCCGTAATAACGATATCCGTATCTCGTTATTATTTCGACCACGGATAATTTAAGATTCAGTCATAATGTAATTTGTATATCACAATCACAACTCCTTGTGATTAACGAATTGCAAAGACTTAAATCTGCAGACTCTATTATTTAATATAATTTTAATAGAAAAGTAATTTAAATAAATACTAGGTCTTGCCAAAATTAAATGCATTAAACATATTAAAAGTGTTTACAATCTAAATTGATTGGGTTTAGGGCATAACACTTACAAAATCCCACTTGCACTAGATCCAGTCACTTATGTATCTAATACCATAAGAGTCTACATGACGATCATGCTTGTACTGCGACAACGGCTTTGTCAATAGATTTGCAATATTATCATATGTGGGAATTCACTCTATCTTTACGTCATTTTTTTGTACAATTTCCCTAATGAGATGGTACCACCTCAGCACATGTTTGGACCGTTGATGAGACCTTGGTTCCTTCGCTTGCGCGATGGCTCCATTGTTATCACAGTACAGAAGTATGGGATCAACACTGTTTGGAACAACTCCAAGTTCACTAATGAACTTTTTGATCTAGACGACTTCCTTTCCTGTTTCAAAAGAAGCAATATACACGGATTCCGTTGTTGAATTAGCGGTAGTCTCTTGTTTGGAACTCTTCCAACTAACCGCTTCGTTGTTAAGAGTGAACACATATCCAGATTGAGGTTTGCTATTATCCTTGTAAGTTTGGAAGCTAGCATTAGTATATCCATGAACTCTTAATTCATCTCCTCCATATATTAAGAACACATCTTTAGTCCTTCTTAAGTATTTGAGAATTAACTGCTATCCAA